TTGATGTGACTGCAGGTATGTGCTGTGAGTCAGATTCTGGATTTGGTTGCCTGCGATCACACATATACGTATTATTGTGAGAAACCCCAGTGAGACCGTGAAAAGTGATCGTCACATACTTAACCCTTATAAACGTATACATGGGTGTACTTGGGATGAATGTTTGCATAGGTTGAAGAATCCCCATATTAAAGCCCCACTCAGAAGATGGGACGAAGGAACTTAGGGGAGACCCCTTGTTCTATTTTTATTCCTGCTTTTTGATGATTTTCCTAGTCGGACGTTTGGTCCTGGGCTGGGATTCGAGGTCCTTGTCTAGGACACTCCAAGCCCTAGGCTCTGCAGGGGAGGGGTTTTCCCTCACGCAGAGCCTATTTGATGTACCTACCGAGACACTCGGGCCAAGAGTCGGAGGTATCGTGGCGGCTGCACGGCTATTCCTTCAGCCGTGCAATGTCATAAAGGGTTAGGCCCTCACGACACTTCAAGTCTGACACTTGAGTGTCATAAGCGGTACTCGGATCCACGAGGGACCGCTTGATTATTGGCACTACATAATACACCATCGTTGCGAGTACTTGTGTACGCATGCATTGCGAGTTGATATGCAATAGCCCTGCATCCGTGCGGTTTTATACTAAGTTCAGCGCGCGACGCCTATCCGATTTCCGCATTGGAAAGTTATGGTTTGGCTACCGAGGGGTAGGAGCGTTGTCGCGTTGTTGGTATTGTGTCGTTTCGTATATATGTTGTTTTGTGTGTACGTGTGTTCGTAAAGTGGAGTGCATGTGGTGTGTGGGATGCGTCCTAGTCGACCGACGATGAATCACACTTGGGACCTCATCCCCCCCAAGATGTCGGTTCGCGTGCGGGTCCGATAGAGGCGTATTACCGCGCGTACCCTCTATGCTACAACGAACGAGAAACACCCTCGGCTGGTCCACCTCTGCGATTGCAACTGATTAGCTTTCGTACTGTGGATCGGTAGCTTGGCGGGGATACGCCCACCGAAGGGAGGTGACAACTCCCGTAAGGTGTAGGTAAATCATGCCTCGCGTAGGCCCTATCCAGTCGTAGGGGCTCGCGAGAGGTATGGCTGACGCACCCGACCGGAGTGACTTGTGAAAGCTCCATGTATATTGCGACGAAGGGTTTTAAAACCAACTCCTGCGTGACGCGGCCGGGAGGGTCCCGCGCTGCCCCCGTGCGGTGTCGGACCGATGCGCCCGACAGGTGGCGCCGTTGCCGGGGATAACGGAAAGCCTACTGTTGTCCCTGGTGAAACGACATCCGAGTATGAGAAGTGAATAAGAAAAGGCATAAAGGAGTGATGAAAAGGTAATGAAGGAATATATGAATGACTAAGTGTAGGTGAGGAAATTTACCTACCCAAGTAGAGGAAGTATGAGGGACGATCGTGTTAACATTGGGTAGGTTAGGTAGGACGGATGGAATAGTTTGGTCAAGGTATAATGTTGAATAAGGGGATGTGCTTGTTTTCTTTTGCCAGGGAACTTAAAAAGAAGAGGTTGTCAAGATGCCTGAGACTGGCGGCGCATCAGTTGTTCCCAAGAAGGGCCTGACACTCGATGACCTCATCGCGGCCATCGACCGACATGAAAGGAACCCGAGCAACATCCCAAAGGTCGATACTTTCCATTTCTGTGGGGAGAGAGTCTCAGAATGGCTAGAGTGGGTGGAACAAGCTTTGGACGGACGGCTGAATGTTGTAAAGTTTCAACGCATCCTTCAGTATGTCCTCCACAGATACCATCAGGAGGTGAAGAAAGCCATAAATGCGGCTCAAGGTAGCTGGGAGAGGTTCAAGGAGGGGATGCAGAGGAAATACCGCCTGGGAGACGGATTGTTGACTACCACGGACCTTGAAGCGATGAACAAAGATGATTTTACGACTATAGGAGCCTTTGTTCAAGAATTTAAGAAGARGGCGCGGAAGGTCCATGGGATTTCGGAGGAAGCACAGTGCGCCATCTTCCTGGGGCTACTCACAGCATCGGAGGCTGTCGAGTTGACGAGACATGGAGSAGGTAGCACTAAGCTCACCTGGGCCACCATTGACAGAGGGGTGGAAGTTGGGTGCTTGGACCAGGTGGAACAACGTCAGGTAYGCCTGCAAAGGCAGAAGAGAAAGGAAAGAGATGCGACCGCTTCTGGGACCCCGGGAGTAACAAGGATTGTTACAGACGTATTGGCACAGCTAGGGTATACGACAGAGCCGGTGGTGCAAAGGAGGGTGGTGACAGCTGTCAAAGTAAAAGGAAAAGAGCCAGTGATAGAGGAGGCTGGTCAGGAGGAGCTCTGGGAAGAGGAAGAGCCGGTGCCACAACACCTGACGAAGGTCCAGCGCAAAGTGCGTAATTTGGCGCAGGGCGGACAAGGATTAGAAAAAGCGCAGGCGCCTCAGGCCCAGGCAGCAGCCCCTTTAAATATGGCGGCTCCATCATCTAGTACGAGCCCCTCACAAGGTGGGGCGCCCTCCTATGGACAGTGGCCCTGGCCGGTGATCAACGCAATTGTGCCATGAGGAAGCACGCCGCCAGTAGCCGGACCGCAAACGAGTATGCCACCACCCATCTACCCCGCGGCCCAGGCCCAACCTGTGGCCCCGCCACCGTCACCTGATCCCAGTTCACAGGGCAGTGTTGTAGGAGGTGGGAACCAGGGGCAGGGCAATCAAGGCAGCGGAGGGAGGGGTGGAGGAAGGGGGCGAGGCAGGAATGGCGGCGGAAGAGGAAGGCAATGGAATGGCCAAGGCCAGGGGTACCAAGGCCAAGGGGGCTAAGGCCAGGGGTACCAAGGCCAAGGGAGTCAAGGCCAGGGGTACCAAGGCCAAGGGAGTCAAGGCCAGGGGTACCAAGGCCAGGGCTATCAAGGCAAGGGGTATCAAGGCCAGGGGGATCAGGGAAGTCAGGGGTATGGAAGACCCCGCTTTGACTGGAGGACGGCCATCTGTCAACATTGTGACCAACAAGGCCACACTATAAGGTTCTGTAATATAAGACGGGAAGACGAGAGAAGCGGAATAATTTTCTCTACTATGGATGGGAATATCTACGATCAGTTTGGGGAGGTCACTGACAGAAGGCTTGGAGGAGTGAGGGTTGAAGCCCAACGAAGAGCGGCAGCTGGGCCGCCACCCCCTGCCATGTTCAGGCTATGGCAGGAAAAGGAGGAACCACCGTTTGGGGTGGAAGAAGTGGGAAGCGATGAGGAAGTGACTCAAGGGCTACGAGGAGGAAGTAAGACGGAAGAGGCCATAATCAGCGAGTCAGATGACGAGGATGAGGAGGAAAGAACGGAGTCTCCGTCCGTCTTATTTGAGAAGATGGAGGACTTGCTGGATAAGATGGGGAGGTACCAACAGAAGTTGGTGGGCCTCTGTGAAGAAGTGAAGGGATGGAGGTCTAACATCCCCACAGTATTCCTCTATGACTCCGGCCCGGAGTCAGCGCCTGGGCGACCCGGAGTAAATGTGGTGGGGTCGTGCCCACAATCAGGAATGAGGGGGAGACCCCTCACTCCGCAGGCCCGGCT